AAAAAAAGAATCTAAAGGATTTATGAAGAAGTGCAAGATGTGATGTTGAGATTTTTTAGAATAAAGATACTCAAGAGATGTGGTTTCCTGCAAAATCGTCAGTGTTTTGATGAAAAGAAAAAAAAAATACAACAAATTGGCTGCTGTTCCCTCATTGTTCAAAAGCTGTGTTTCAAGCTCTGAAGTACTCTCTATACTCTTTGAACACGTGACAACTGCTGAACAACTTGTAGCATTTGCCAACTAAATATATGCCAGTTAAAACTTTCACATACAATATAAAAATATATGCCTGGATAGATGTAAAGATATTTTACATCTTAAATTTAGAAATTTATCCTCAGTCACCACATCTTTCTTTGCACAGTCATAAGCCATATGATGCTACTTCAAAACTAACCCAAAAGCCACATTTGACAATTGGATTCCTAGTTACCCACTGACGTTTTGTTTGGTAAAAACACCAATTGATTCGTGTAGGAACTCTTCACAGGAACAAAGTGGAGATTCCTGAAAAAACGTTGCAAGTTCACAGTGAAAAAATGTGTAATACAATCTTTGGATTTCAGAAAGACATGGACTTCCTGTATGGGGAAAGAAAAAAAAAAAAGTAGTACGGATACTGTCAGCATTTACGCTGTGATGATAAAACTCATAGTGAAGCCAGGCGAGGCAATGCACAGCTGAAACCCGAGCACCCAGCAGGCTGAGGCAGGAGGATCCTGTGAGCTCAAGGCCAGCCTATGCTACAGAGTGGGTTCAAGGCCAGCTTGGGCTACACAGTAAGACTGTCTCATAAAACAAAACAAAACAAAATTAAACGAAAAACCTGACAGTAAATTCTCAACATGGATGAAACCAGAAATAGTCACATTTTCAACAAAATGAAAACATTTTACAACAAAACAATTAAGGCAAAGTAGACCTTGTGGAGGAGCTACGAGACAACTATGATGTCATCTGAAACACAAAGCTGGGGCCAATGCTTGCTACTTACTCAGTCTTAAACATGTCAGGCATAAACAGTTTTATAGCTTACAAAAAAATAAGCACAAATTATCATGGTGCAATTTTCTTGAAGGATTAGGACTGGAATTGATAGATGAGTAATTACAACAGAGAAGAACAACACATATCTGCCCAAAGAACTCCTCAAGAGAATTCTGGAGCAGACAGGTGAACAGACAGGTGAACCATCAAAGGAAACAGGAAGGCCAGCAAGATGTCAAGCACGCCCTACCAAAGAGGAGAGGAGGGGCCAGGGAGATGGCTCAGTAGGATAAGCATTTGACTGTGACTGGCAAACGCAAGGATCTGAGTTCAATCCCCGGTTCCACCAAAAAAAAAAAAAAAAAAAAAAAAAGAGGAGAGGAAAACCAAGCAAGAGCGATCAGTGTAAGAAGGAATGTATGTACAGAACATGCTGTTCTGTTGTGTGAAAACTGCCTTGGATGTGATTACTGAAGTAAAGATTATTTTCCTGGTAAAGTATTATTTGTACTTTTATTGTAGCTTACATAGTAATTTATTTCAGTTGTTATTTTTAGATTTAGTAAGCAAACAGTTGAAGTAGAAAGTGTTGATACTTATTCTAAACATTTAGTACATATTTGATTTTTTTATTGATATTTCGTTTGCCTGCCAAGTATGGTATAATAGGAGCCTCCTTAAAAAGAGGAAGACAAGAGTGGTGGCAAGTGTGACCTGTCAGAAAAGATAAGGAAATAAAACACATGTTCTGTCCATGCAGGCAACACTTGCACACGGGACATGCAGCGTTTCCCTGTGAAAACCGCCTTGGCCGTCCTCACTAGGGCAGAGATTCTTCCTGTGGTAAAGTTTTATTTGTGTTTTCATTGTAGTTCTCATTGGAATGTATCAATGTTGTTATTTTTAGATGTTGTAAACAGTTGATACAGAATATGCTGATGTTTATTTTAAACATGTAGTACATAAAAAATTAACATTTTAATTTATTGTTATCTTATTTTCCTACTAAGTACACATTGTAAAATATAATAAAACTCATACAATTTAAATAAACCATCAATAGAAATACTGCTAAAAATAAACATGGGTGTTATACACCCTTTTCAATGCTCCTTTCAAAAAAATTTATGGTGACTGTCCAGTCTATAAAGAGGACAAAGTGAGTGAGAGTGGCCTCCAAGGCGCTGACCAGAAAGTAAGAGACCTATCAGGAGGGGACATCCAGTGGGCGGAAAGACCCCATAGTGGGTGTCTGAAGCCAAGAATAGTTTTTCTGAGTTAGCTACACAATGGGGCTGTGCAGGAGAATGAGAAGGGGTGATGTTAGAGTCGGTGGAATCCTTTCTACAGTCCTCAAGCACTCTGTGCCGATGTGCTGCCTTTCTAAGAGCCACTCTCTCAGTTGCAATTCTGTAGGCAAGGCCTGAAATTTGGAACTTCCAGGGTTGGGCAAGGGGCAGACTCAGCGATGGCACCCTCTGAGCTACAATGCTCATGAATGAATTCAAACAAAAAGGAGGTCCTTACACTTACATTAGCTACATCCAGCCTATTTTTGATTTTTTTTTTTTTTTTTTTTTTTTTTTTTTTTTTTTTTTTTTTTTTTTTGTAGTAACAACAGTAGAAGGCATTGAAACCAGCATTTCATACTGAGCTACATCCCTAACCCCTTTTGGTTATTTTTTTTTCTTTTTAAAGTAGGGAGCCACCAAGTTACTAAGTTGTTTAGGCTGCCTTTGAACTTGTAGTTCTCTTGCCTGAGCCGCCTAGAGTGCTGCGTGACACTTGTGTGCCACCGTACCCAGTTTTGATTCTAATAATGGCATTTTAGGGCAAATGTAAATGGAGTCACACACGCTGTCTGGGCTATGGGGAAAGACTATGGAGAGCAGGTACAGGAAACACTGCCTCTTAACGTTTTACCTCTTGAAAAACGGTATCTCTTATTCTTGAAAGATGAGGAGCTTAGAGCTAACAGCACGTATTCAATTAGCCACACTTGTGTCCCGCGTGCTACATGACAGGACAATCTTCACATCACTTAGGAGGACGAAACAATCTCTAGAAGTGAATTTCAGGCTGATCTCAAAATCTTTTCAATAATGTCCTAAATACGTCTACATACTAAGAACATCAGTTAATTACTCAGAAGCTCACATATGTGCTTCTAGGAAAAACAATAAAAAGTTCTTACCACAACTAGATAAAATTACATGTTATAAAATTAAGTGCAATCTAAATGCAACCTATATATGCTTTGATAACATAGTATGCTACCACTAGGAATACAGAATTATTATAAGCAAATCTTACATTCCGACTTAATAAAACGATAAATATCCAAAATACAAAAATAATTGGGTCTTCTTTCTCCCACTTGAAGAATTATCTCAAGCTGTGGTTTGAAATCCAAGGCCTCAACACCACGAGTGGTACGTGTGTACCCTCGCAGAGGCGGAGCGGCAGGGTGGCCACGCTGCGGAGCGCCGCGAGTGTCCCCGCTGGAACCTGATAGATGTCATCTCTGGCAGTAGCCACCACCCAAAACCTTTTCCAAACTTCCCTCACAACAGGAAGCTGCCGTCACTCTGCTTTTCTTTTGCCTCTCGCCTGGTGACACCATTTTTCCAGAGGCTGTTTTCTCTCCTGAACAAAAATCAATTTTCTTTTTGCTTCTTAAAAATCTCTGCTCCGTGCATCACACAACTAGCACAACAAGGGACACAAAAACTGTCCCTCAGCCATCGGAAGAAAAACAATGACGTAATTAAAATTTTTTTAAAGGGAAAAAAAATAACATTTAAAACAGTTTCAAAACAAGGTAGTAGGAGAGTGACACTAATTAATGCACTGGGTCTGGTCGTCTTCACAGTCCCTATCCAGGGTACAGGGCAGAGGCGTGACGACTTGTCCACACGTACGCGCACAAGCCTTTCTTCTCAGTGAGCCAGGAGAAGCCAGCTGCGTAACTGTCTCAGCTAGCTTGTGTAGAAATACATTTTTTCTTTTCCCTTTCTTTGCTTTCCTTTTTCCTCATCACAGTTTGTCTTTTCTTGTGAGCAGTTTCTTCCCAATATACAGTATCAATTGTACATTTTGCATCTCATTCCTTCTGTTTCTCACACTGATGAGGCAATGCTATTTACACCTATGAGTCTGATTTATTTCACTTATGAATATAGTCTCGAGTTGCATGCGTTTAACTATAAAGGTATTCTGAAGCTCATACTTATAAGCATTTTAGAAATAAAAACTGCTACTCAAGACTTTTCATTGCATAAATCCCCCCCCCACCTTTTTTTTTAATGCGGTACTGGGGACCTTGCACTTGCCAGGCAGAGCTTATCCACTGAGCTATTTTCCCGGCCCATAAGTCCTTTACTGAGGTCAAATCCAATCATTGTTTCTGAAGAAGAATATACCAATTTCCCAAGCTTGCGCCAAAGTAGCACTAGGGCTGGACTGAGACTCGAACCAACACAGACCTCAGCATCACGCGGCGAGCCAGACCGAGGAGTGTGAGCAACAGGCAGCACGAGAGGACAGGAGTGTTCTCTGCAGACTGGCTCCTTGTAGTGCAGTTTTAACAACATTTGCACTAGCTAAAATTTGATCATTACAAATATTACACTGTTGTCTTACCATGGTGGTTTCTTGAATGGACCCAAAGCTATTAATAAAGATGTTGACTACTACATCAACAGGAACACCTATGAAGAAAAATGAGGGATGTATTTAGTAAAATGCTGGATTACAGTCAGCATAATATTGCTGTGCACATAATTTACAAATTTTTCCATCTCTTCTGGGATAAAACTAGCTCACGACGGTCATTAAGGTACTTTTACGAATAGGGACCACAATACAAAAGAAACGTGTGTCACACTGTATGCTACTAATGTGTTGACTTTTAAAACATTCTAATGTACATTACATTAAATATACACTCCATGTGTATTACAAAACCCTTTAAGTCTTTCAGAATCATAGTTTGATAGTCTTACATTGTTCAAATCATCTTTAATTCTTAAATGAAATAATGTAATAATACTCAATAATTTTCACTTGTAATGACTATATGTTAATATTTAATGCATGCAAATGCAAAGTTAATCAGATATGTAAACAGAGCCATTATATAGAATTCTGCCTGACCTGTTCCAAAATAATTTGAAAGTTCCTAGAGTGAGAACCACAGTATTATGCTGCAAATTTATTTCTCTTTTCATCCTCAGCTCCTGTGGCTGCTGGTCATATTGCCAAAGGGCAAAGATGCCTTCAGCCTTCAACCACAGAAACTCAACCACAGAAACGCCTCCTGAGAGACACAGGTGGCAGGGACCAATCGCCACAGCAGCCCAGCCGCGCTACAGTGAGAGGGGCTGGGAATGAGCGCAAAGCACCGTTTTACGACATAGCTGCAGAGCTGACTGGAAGCAGCTGCAGACCTTTCTTCTGCAGAGAAAAATAAAATCAAGCCTTATAATATGGCTCTGATCTACATTACCACCTATCCCTAAGGAACGGTCAGAATTACTGTTTTCCAGACATTTTTTTCCACACAGCTTTTCCTAATTTATCAAAAGTCAAAAAGAAAAAAATGTATACAAATATGCAATTAAGTATAGAGGGGGTTTTTGGAAAGCTATAACAAATGACAATATCTTTTTGTAATAAATATAATCCCTGTGTAGTCACTTTGCTTTTAAATTTAACATTTTAAAACCACGTGGATGCCGGGCGTGGTGGCACATGCCCGTGATCCTAGCCCTGGGGAGGCCGAGGCAGGAGGATCACTGTGAGTTTGAGAGCAGCCTGGGCTGCGAAGTGAGCTCAAGGCCAGCCCACGCTGCGTAGCAAGGCCCTGTCTCCAAAAAACAAAAATCTCTAAAACAAACAAATCAAAAAACCCACAAACAAAAAGTCACATGGCTATATTTTTAGTACCAAAAAGCAGGGACTTTTATGAGTGTGAAACACTCATGAGTGTAAAAGTAAAAGAGAACAGATACATGTACGTGTATATGGCTGTCCCAGAATAGTCTGTTTTCCCCAGATGAGCAAACGGCTCTTCTATAAATTATAACATTTGTGTCTCTCAATGAACGAACCTGCCGTCTTAGTTTTAAATCATTAAAATCTAGAACACACAGTACTCAGATCTGTTTTGTTTTGTTTAAACCAGTAACCTATATATAAAATTGCTGAAATATTTTGCTTACCATTGAATAGCTCAGGCATTGAAACCGCTCCAACCCTAAGCACGTAAGACAGTTACAGGTAAATCTGAAGTCTGAGTGTTCCGAATAGCACAAAGAACGACTTTATACGGATACAGTTACGGATTAAACGATAATGAATGAAGATGAGGAGGCAACAAACCTTTGAAATTCGGTCTTATCCGGGGGTCGTAACTGACCAACATCCTGTTGAGGATATCGCTGGTGGAGTTGCGTGGTACCCGGTCAAGGTCCTCCGGCGACTGCTGGCTGCAGGAGAAAGAAAGCAGAGCAAGGAAATACCCAGGCTCAGTACCAAGAAGCAGCAAGCAGAAGGGGCAGTGGTGTCGGTGGGAGAAAGGCTGCTTTGTTGAGAAGAAGTCCCCCCCAAAAAAATTGGTAACATGAAAAAGCTAACTGCTTTTTCGTCAGTTTGTGGCAAGAGGGCCCAAGTCTACAGCACATTTGGGACTACGTCTTCTAAAAGCACAGGGCTTTCTTAAACTTCCTGGCTCTGCTGGCTGTCTGCTTGTGGAGCTGTGGAGGCCATGTGATGCAGCAAATACTGGATGTAGATGTATACCTTTGGCATAAAATGAAAGATGAAATTATCAGAAATCTGAAAATGTTTTTGTTTGTCTAACAACTTGATCTTAGGAGTTCCGTACATAGCCCTACCTTCGAAGGGAAGAAGACAGAATTAAAGTCAGTAGTCTAAACATTCATTTGGGCTTGTGGCACGTCCTCCACACAAGGCAACAGGGTGCAACTAATGCTTACTAGGAACACTCAGCTGTTCTCTGTGACAGGCCCTCGTATCACCTGTGAGCTATGGAGGGCTGACGATAGATGCTGAGACGATCTGGAAAAACGAAAGATTTAAATTTATGTCCGGTTTCAGTGGCTGGTACGGCACACCAACATGGCCTGGGGTACCAGGGACCAAGCCCAGGTCCTTGCACTTGCCAGGCAGGCATTTCAGCTGCTGAGCTATGAGTGCACAGCTGTAATCCAGCGCTGAGGAAGCTGAGACGGGAGGATCACTATGAGTCCGAGCTGTGTAGCAAGCCTCTGTACCAAATAGACAGATAGATAGATAGATAGATAGATAGATAGATAGATAATTAAAAATTTTAAGTTTATGTCCACATTTTGAAGGAAAACATAATCAACAAATACACACAAGAATGGTTTCTTACACAATACTGTATCTAAATAAAAAAATGCGTTCCTGAAAAAAAAAAAATAGAGTGAGGAAGCCCCCACCATGACACAGCTTTTCTAACTGTAACTGCAGAATGGCAACTATTTTCAGAAGCTGAAAAGGTATTTGTAAGAAAATAACAGCCGAGGAAAGTATTTTAGCATTTACTCTCGCTAAATGCATTACACACTACCCCATGCCCTTGGGCCTCCTTGCGTTACACAAAGATAGGCAGCGATTTTGCTCGCCCTGATGCAGCCCGCTGTTAAGTCCTCTGTGATCACAAGAGGAGCACCTCCGGCAAACCCACTGGACAAAAGCAAAGACCAGCTTGGAGCAATGCGTGAGCCGACCGTCCTGCCCAAGCAGAGGAGCCTGTGAACACAGTAAGAAGACAGAGCCAGCAAGATTGTCTAAGAAATCACAAGACAGCCGTACTACCTTTTATATGATACTCCTCAAGTAAAGGAGTATCTCATCCTTACCGAATTAAATATGGTAGCCCAGGGGAAAAATGAGAAAATAAGCTTCTCGGTTATCAGATCGATGAAGCAGGTAAAAGACTCCACAGTGCCCTAGGACCGTTACCTCTTTATTTCCTCTACAAACAGGGTGCAACTATCTGCTCTCAGTTCCTTATTTAGAAGGAAAAACTTGCTTTATGTTGCTATTTTAATTAACTTTGAAAAATTTGTCATACTAAATCGGTAGTTAAAAGCACTTTTCAAAGAGGAAATTCCTTGGAAGTCCAAGGAAAATGTTTTGTTTCTCTGACTTGCTTGGGCTGCTTTCCCCATAACAAAACTAAGTCCATGATAAACACAAGAAAGGCGAAAGATAGGTGGAGAGGCTAGCGATGCTATATTGTGTAGAGCTAGGGCAAAAACTTTAAATGAATGAATGAATGTATGTGCAGCAAACCTCGATGCAATAGGCGTGGCTTCGTGATGAATCGAGTCTCCTTTGTACCAGACAGTTCAGATCTGATATGCGGCAATCACTGCAGTGAACTCTGCTGGACAGTATGAACTTGAGGAAAAATCTAAAAAGACCATGAATTGATGAAGACAGCTTTTTCAAGCAAAAGTCATTCGGCACATGAAACATTAAAGAAAGGAAAGTCAATTAACTCATCTTCCCAGAGGTAGAGGACACTATGCCAACTTCAACATTGCATCTCAGGGCGTTAGCAGCACCAGCGTCACAGCTCTGGGATCTGAGCACTGTAATGAGATTTTCTGTGCGCTGAAAGTGAAATCGCACCCTCCTTGCAGCCAAATGTCATCCCTTATCAAGAAATGGAAAATTTTAAAAGAATGAGGATATGTGAGAAAATTCAGTATGAGAATGCAAATTAATGTTCAAGCCCTCTACAAGTTTTCTTATGAAAGGGAGGAAAGCAGAAATGATTGTGAAACAAGCTTGCACTGAGCCAAGGACTGCACTTTTGTGTCTCTCCATATAAAATCCTGTAAAAGTACATTTCTTCTAAGCAAAGAAAAGATGTCATAATGACACTAATAAACACTAATTTTTATAGTTTAGAACTTTATGGCCTCGTTTTTCTTCTACCTGTAAATTGTATCAAAACCAATTGCCAGCCCTTTCAATAGCAAAGTGTCCCCTCTCCATTCACTGCTCCAGGCTAGACCCCTTTCCTTGAATACCATACTGCGCTTTTCCTTTCTCCTTCAACTAAAATCAGCCTGTCATCCAAGCCTGCCCCAATACTTGTCTTTCCTAAAGTTTTGTTTCAGCTGCATCTCATTAATCCAGTGAGCCTTGTCTCAAAGAACACACGCTATTAAGTACACCATTCAGCAACAGTCCTGTGACGTTCTTCGTTCTGTGGGCACCACCTGGACAGAATGCAGGTAGCTCTGTCGTCAGGACACTCGGGCTCCTACATTGCTCTAGTTCCTTCCATTACCTTCAGCACAGGTAGGCTGCAGCAATTCCCACCCACCAGGTCTTCTAAGTGCCTTTCAGAGACCCCCTGCTGGTGCTACAGGGGCAGGCCATCACTTCCTGGAGGAAGAGGGGAGCTTTTGACAAAGCTCTCTTCCAGGAGTGGTATCTTCCGCCCTCGGAAGTTTCCAAGCATTGGACACTGCCAAATCAAGCACTGATGTGGAGGGAGGAGAAATCCAAACCAGCTCCAGTCAATATTCTAGACTGGCGTAGATGCTAGAGAACCAACCACCACATCTGTTACACTCTGTGACTTGGGAAACTTACCTACTTGGTTCAGAGAAGAGAGATTAACCATACAGAAGGCTACTTTCAATGGGGAAGAAGAGAAAAGCCTAATTGATAGCATAAGCAGGAGGTAGGGATAGGACGTAACAAACTGTCTGAATATAAAGGAAAATCTGGAAAGATTTTCTATGGATTTTAATGGATCGCTCTATGATGTAAGAATCAAGAATGAAACCAGAACAGGGGGTGGAGAAAGAAGTGGGGTGCTTACTTGTCTCCCAAAGGTGAGACCAAGGGTTCCCCACCACAACAAGCATGCAATAGAACCTCGCACCCCAACTTCTGCTTATACTGTCTCTCTAAGATAAGCTAGCCGTTATGGAAGTGAAATACTGCAAGCCATTTATTACCACTGTCAAAGGGCAAACTTGCAACAGCTGCATCTTAGCTGGCTTTGCATTCAGCTCTAGGATCAGGCCGCATCACGCTCCCTGAAATGCAATCGGTGTTCCAATGGATCCCACAGGGCAGTTTGGCTTTGGAAACAGAGAAGGGCTGAGGAAGCTGCATCAGAAAAACAAAAACAAAAAACTCACAAAAGCAAGTTGCTCAAAGTTATTTCCCTTAAAAAACCAGTGACAGGGAGTCAGAGCAATGAAAAATAAATCACTTCCGGCCCACTTTTTTTCCATGAGGATTAAGACTTCAATTATGGCAAGTGAAGCTGATCTAGTGAGAACAGCAGTGACAGTGCTGAGCCTGATTTCTTAGACCGTAAACAACTTAGTTTTGGTGCAGCAATGAAGAACTTTAGTGTAAATGATTCTATTTTTATTTTTACCAAAAACTCAATGCTAGTTATAAAGTTCATTCAAGCAGTGAATATATTAAATATTGTATAGTCCTGTTTTGCTATTAATGCATTTAAAATATGTTTTCATGACTCTCCTACAGGTAACTTGACATAAACGTTCTATCAATAGTTCACATTTTTATATTAGAATTTCAGAGACATTTTAAATTTTAAACTAAATTCCATGTAGTTTGTTTTCATAAGCATAAGTTTAGGGTTCTTTCCAGATTACTAAAGCTGAAATTACATTGAAATTATCTCTACAGATGAACATATTTGAGAGAATAAAGATTTCCACTTTCTCCCAAAGATCTAAAATGATTTCATGTAGTGTATCTACATACCATGAAATTTGTAAAACGTTGTCATTTGAAGAGTATTATTTATGCAAATAAGAATGGATTAAGTTAAATGGATAATTAGGGCACAGGCTTCGTTTTTCCTGTGCTTGTAACCTGATTCTCAGGGTAGTGTTTTACCCATTTGAAGTCTCTACTAGAAACCCAATGAATTACAGAGCAGGATTCATTTCTTGGAAATACAATATTAATTTAAGAAAATAACTCATTCTCCTTAGGCATGGTGATCAAATGACTCAAGAAGATAATGCTTTCTCTCAAAAGCCCTTTCCAACCACGCTTCCCTTGTTCCCTTGCCTAGCCTTGAACCAGCATTGTTACTGATAGGCCAAGTCACAGGAGGAATGTGTCCACCACGCAGCTGTGGTAGGTAATGCCCTCCAGTACTAAAAGAAAGCCCAGAAATTCGTTCTAAAGGAGGAAACTCAATTTTGTGCTAGCTGCAGGACATTTTTATTTTACAGGACACTGCTGAAACAGGCATGGATGCGTGCTGTCTTATTCTTTTCCCTGCAACAAGGCCTGGGACCACAGCTGAAGAAACCTTTCTTCCCAGAAGCAAAGCGAATCCCACTATAGAAGATGCTGCCTCTGTAAGGGCTTCCACAAATGCTGATGGTCCTCCGATTTAAGAAACTATAAGAAAGCACGTGGA